AACAACAACTTGTTTGCTTCTCAGGACTTAGTGTCCCCTTTTGCAAAACGGGCTCACTCTTTCCCCAAAGGCTCCAGGAAAACGCCAGGTAGAGGGGGAGCAGTGAGGTGCTGGGTAAACTCCGAGGGGCTGACCGCTGCGGGAAGTCAGGAGGTCGGGTCCCCTTGGCCCCTCTCCCCAGGACCAGGCACAAGGGAGGCTGCATTCGGACCCCTCTTCTCCCTCAGATGCCATGGAGCTGGGCCTGTCCCCACCGCATCACAGCAGCTCCCCAGAAGACCTGTACCCCGCCCCGGGGACCCCTCCGGGGACTCCCCCGCCGCCCGACACCCCCCTTCCTGGGGAGGTGAAGAGGTCCCAGCCTTTGTCCATCCCGACCAGCAGGTGCAATGGGTGATGGGGCTGAGGAGGGCTGGGGGAGGGGCGCAGTCAGCACCGGGAAAGACCATAGAGGCTTGACGTCAACTCTTCCCCAACCCACACAGGAAACTTCGAGAGGAGGAGCTGCGGACAACCTCTCTACCCTCCATCCCCAACCCTTTCCCTGAGCTGTGCAGTCCTCCTTCACAAACCCCCATTACTGGGGGACTCTCCAGTGCCAGGGGGCTGCTCCCTCGAGACACCAGCTGCCCCCATGTGAGTTGTCCTGGGAAAGAGAAGGCAGGGCCGTGGGAGGGCTGTGGGGCTGGGAGGGGGACAGCACCACTTGGAGGCGGGGGAATTTGCTCAGGGGTCCCTGAGGGTATAGCAGGTGGTGGTGGTGGGGGGAAGAACCACCCTTTGCTTTTCCTCAAGTCATGTGCAATTCCTGGGGTGCAGGTAGTAAAAGTGTATAGCGAAGACGGGGCCTGCCGGTCCGTGGAGGTGGCGGCGGGTGCCACCGCACGCTACGTGTGTGAAATGCTGGTGCAGCGAGCTCACGCCCTCAGTGATGAGAACTGGGGGCTGGTGGAGTGCCACCCCCACCTCGCACTGGGTGAGTTGGGGTGCAAGGGGCTGCCCGGGCCCGGAGGCAATGCTTCACACTTGGGCTAAGCAGACGGCTCATCCCTGAGGTCTGGCTGACCTCCACTGACCCCTGCTTTTTGCCCTTCACCCCAGAGCGGGTCTTGGAGGACCATGAGTCCGTAGTGGAAGTACAAGCTGCATGGCCAATCGGCGGAGACAGCCGCTTTGTCTTCCGGAAGAACTTCGCCAAGTATGAACTGTTCAAGAGCTCCCCAGTGAGTGTGTGTGGGAGGGGGGCCGGGGGGAAGGGGGGAATTCCGGGCAACGGGACACCCTGATCCCTGACCTGGGCCCTCAGTCTTTGACTCTGGACTCCCATCTGCCCAGCACTCCCTGTTCCCAGAGAAGATGGTCTCCAGCTGTCTGGATGCACCGACGGGCTTATCGCATGAAGACCTCATCCAGGTGAGTGAGGAAACTCACATGGTCACGGTTCCCCAGGCTCCCCACCGCTTCTCCGCCCTGAAGCCTTGTGCCTCCCTCCGTGGGGAGGAGAGAACCTGGGGGACGTGTCTTTTCCCTGCGCGAGCATTAGTTTCTTCATCTGTTAAATGGGGACAATAAATGCATGTGGAGCAACTCCTTTCATAAGGGCAGGTCCTGGGAAGGTGCAGTGCCTGCGTGCTGCGTGTTTTCTGTGTGTGTGTGGCCCCCTCTAGGCTTCTCACCCTCTTTTTTCTTTTAATTTATTTTTATTTGATTTATATTGATTTCAGAGAAGGGAGAGGGAGAGAGAGATAGAAACATCAGTGACGAGAGAGAATCATTGATTGACTGCCTCCTGCACGCCCCCTACTGGGGATCCAGCCTGCAACCCGGGCATGTGCCCTTGACCGTAATTGAACCTGGGATCCTTCAGCCCGCAGGCCGGCGCTCTATCCACTGAGCCACACCGGCTGGGGTGGCCTCTCACCCTCTTGCTCTTCTCTGGCTGCAGAACTTCCTGAATGCGGGCAGCTTCCCGGAGATCCAGGGCTTCCTGCAGCTGCGGGGCTCAGGACGGAAGCTTTGGAAGCGCTTCTTCTGCTTCCTGCGCCGGTCTGGCCTCTATTACTCCACCAAGGGCACCTCCAAGGTGACAGTCCCAGCCCCTCTGAAACCCCATCCGGGCCCTGCTAGGTGTCGCCTCTTCCCCGTTGGAACTCCTGGACCTTTCTCCCCTTGGGCCCTGAGACCCTCGGCTGCTCCTCCCTCCTGCCCAGCTTACCTGCCCCAGGAGGTAGCAGTGGGAAAGGCAGGGGGACTGAGTTCGAGTCCTGCCTCTATTTCGATTTGCTGTGTGAGCTGGGGCACTTCGCCGCTCCGCCCCCCCGCCCTGATATCTCCTCAGCTGGCTTGGTTGGGCAGTAACTGGGGGATAGAGCCGGCCTGTACCAAGCTCTTCTCACCTGTGCCGAGCAGGACCCGAGGCACCTGCAGTACTTAGCAGATGTAAACGAGTCCAATGCGTATGTGGTGACTCAGGGCCGCAAGCTGTACGGGATGCCCACGGACTTCGGCTTCTGTATCAAGGTGAGGGCCCAGGCCTGGCCTGGGAGAGAGTGGGAACTGCTTAGCCCCCCGGGATCCTACCTGGGGCTTCTGAGTTCTGTCTGGGACTCCCAGACTCCTCTCCCTGCGCCTGCCCCTGCCCCACGGAGACAGGAGACAGGAATCGGAGGTCGGGACCTAAAGGCAGATAATGAATCAGCCAGCTTCCTTCCCCGCAGCCGAACAAGCTTCGCAATGGCCACAAGGGGCTGCGCATCTTCTGCAGTGAGGACGAGCAGAGCCGCACCTGCTGGTTATCCGCCTTCCGCCTCTTCAAGGTGAGGCCCTGGGAGCAGCATGGGGGCTGGCCCCGCCCTCGGGATCCCCCGCACGAGGGAGGAGTGATAGCTCTGCCCGCAAAGGTCTCCAGAAAGAGGGGCGTCATTCTGCTCTCGGATCCCGGGTCCAAGGCTGGAGTCCCAGCTCTGGCTTCAGCACACTCCTGGTCCCGGGGCAGAGACACAGCCCTGCTCTTGGGGGGGCCTGTCTGGGGGGTGTCACGGCCCGCACCCCGGCACCTGCTTGACCTCGGGCCCTCTTTCTCTCTCTCCACACCCCAGTATGGGGTGCAGCTGTATAAGAATTATCAGCAGGCACAGTCTCGCCACCTGCGCCCGTCCTGTATGGGGTCCCCACCCCTGGTGAGTGAACACAGGGGCGTGAGTTGGGGCGGGTACCCAGACCCCGTTCCGGGGACACTGGGGTCCTGTTCTGACCGCTCCCCTCCCATTTTGTCCCACGCGCAGAGGAGTGTCTCGGATAACACCCTGGTGGCCATGGACTTCTCCGGCCACACGGGGCGCATCATCGAGAACCCGCAGGAGGCTCTGAGCGTCGCCCTGGAGGAGGCCCACGCCTGGCGGGTGAGGCGCCTGCACTCACCTGCATGTTGGTCCTGGGGAACATCTCTCCATATGGGTTTCCATGGAGGGGCTCGGGGGAGAGGGAGGGATGAGGGGAGGCCCCCAGGTGCAGAAAGGGGCTCTACATGCTTCGGGGCGGGCCATACCCCAGCCAGGCCCTGCCACCCCCGACCCTTGTGTCCCCTCTGCTCTGCAGAAGAAGACGAACCACCGTTTCAGCCTGCCCACCCCGTGCTCCAGCACCAGCCTCAGTGCAGGTGGGTGAGGGCGCAGCCTCCCTGGGGCTGGGGGCGTCTCTGCGCACTCAAGGGGGGGGTTAGTAGGAAGATCCCCTCAGAGTGACTGCTCACCTGTCTGCCTCTCACCCCAGCCATCCATCGAACCCAACCCTGGTTCCACGGACGGATTTCCCGCGAGGACAGCCAGCGGCTCATCTCCCAGCAAGGCCTGGTAGACGGGTAAGGGCAGGGCTGGGCAGGGCAGCAGGCCCAGGGGTAAGGGAGACCCCGAGTGAAGGCAGCAGCCCGGTGTCCTCGGCTGACGTGGCCCTGTCTCCTGGCAGACTGTTCCTGGTGCGGGACAGCCAGCGGAACCCGCAGGGCTTTGTCCTGTCTCTGTGCCATCTGCAGAAAGTCAAGCATTATCTGATCCTGCCGGTAAGTCAGCCCCTAGCTCAGCGGTTCTCAACCTGTGGGTCGCGACCCCTTTGGCAGTTGAACGACCCTTTCACAGGGGTCGCCTAAGACCATCGGAAAACACATATATAATTACATATTGTTTTTGTGATTAATCACTATGCTTTAATTATGTTCAATTTGTAACAATGAAAATACATCCTGCATATCAGATATTTACATGACGATTCATAACAGTAGCAAAGTCACAGTTATGAAGTAGCAACGAAAATAATTTTATGGTTGGGGGTCACCACAACATGAGGAACTGTAGTAAAGGGTCAATTCATTAGGAAGGTTGAGAACCACTGCCCTAGATCATCGGTCGCCAGCCGGTGGTCCGTGAGGTCCGGAAGGTTGGAGGCCGCTGCCCTCGATGCCCGCGGTGGAGACATGGGGCTCCTGGCAGCCTGTCGCCTCCACCCTCCCCTCCTGGTCCCCAGCGTGTCTGGGGTCTCCTGCTCTCTCCTTTCTCCCTGCACAAGCAGTGGGGACCTCGGGCCTGGCCCAGGAGGGAGCCCCTCGGGCTCATGCTCCCCTCTGACCGCCCACCCCCTGGCTCTGCCCCAGAGCGAGGAGGAGGGCCGCCTCTACTTCAGCATGGACGAGGGCCAGACGCGCTTCACCGACCTGCTGCAGCTCGTGGAGTTCCACCAGCTGAACCGCGGCATCCTGCCCTGCCTGCTGCGCCACTGCTGCACCCGCGTGGCCCTCTGACCGGGCGGCAGCAGGCCCGTGTCTCCGCCCCGGGCTCCTAGGGTGGACTCGGAGGGTCAGAGGGCAGGGACAGGATCGAGAACAAGTGGAAGGCTCCCCCCAGTCCAGTTTTCTCCCCTGCTCCTTTGCTTCACTGAGGCAGTAAGTGGTCCCCCTCCCCCTCCCCCCAGTTCACCCTTAATCCCTCTTCTCAAGGGAAGGCACTTGGGGTGGCCCTCTCCCCTTCAGGGAGCTCCTTTCTGGGCACTACTCTGGGGCAAGGCATTATGGGAGAAATGGGGGTAGCCCAGGTGGTCTGATGCCCCACACGTTGTACAGACTGAGGCCAGTTGATCTGCTCTGTTTTATACTCCTTACAATAAAGGTTATTTTTGGATACACCTGTGAGTTCAGTCTGGCAAGACCTGGCTCGCTGGGGTTGGGAAGGGGGGCAGGAGAGGTGTGCACAGGCCTTGGTGAATGTGTCAGATGGATAGATGCCACTCACTGGCCAGCTGGGATGTTTCTGAGGGCAGGGCCGTGGTCTTGGTCATCTGGGAGCCCCCAGTGCCCAGCATGGAGCCTGACCCATAGGGGGTGCCCAATGATTGCTTGTTGAATGAATGAGTGGACAAGGGACTGTCCTCCAGATGAGATTTCCCAATAGGGCCTACAGCTATGGAGGTAACTCCAATGGGCCTGGGCTGTGGGGATGAGTCAGACAGCATCCCCGTCCTCTACAAGTCCTGGGCTGATGGTCCTGACCAACACACAGGTGTATGTCCACCACCAGGTCACAGAACGGCTCCAGTCCCTACCCCCACTGTCAACCCCCCTCTCTCCTCTCCAACCCGAGGTCTGCTTACCGTCCTAACAGTTCTGCCCCTTTCAGAAAGCCGTTATGGAATCCTCCAGCACTCAGCCCTCGGAGTCTCGCTTCCCTCTCCAACCTAGCTTCAACATCCAGAGTGATCTTTTCAACACAGAAATCTGCTCACTCCCCTGCGCCTGCCCCTCCACCCAGACAGACCCTGCAGGGTCAGGTCTCCTCACTGCCCATGCCGGCCTTTACTTATTTATTTATTTATTTTGTCTGAAGACTTTTGTTTAAGAATTTTAATAATTTTGGCTCTTTTTAAAATATAATAGTTTTATTGATTTCAGAGAGGAAGGGAGAGAGAGAGAGAGATAGAAACATCAATGATGAGAGAGAATCATTGACCGGCTGCCTCCTGCACTCCCCCCACTGGGGATTGAGCCCCCATCCCAGGCATGTGCCTTTGGCTGGAACTGAACCCGGAACTCTTCAGTCCACAGGCCAACACTCGATCCACTGAGCCAAACCAGCTAGGGCCAACTAGGTGTTATTTTTGCCAAGGAATCAAATCTAAATCTGGATCCAACGATTAGTCTGGCGGTTTTCGGCCGGTGTGCTGCAAGAATTTCTAAAGCAGGCACTGACCTCTTTTCCCTTAGATTGTAAAAAAAAAAAAAAACCAACAGCCAACACAACAATAACCGTCCTGTGTGAATGAATCAAAATTATACCTATTTTTTTGGTCAGGTCAGCAAAACATATATCGGTTGGTGTGCCGCAGAATTTTAGTCATTAGTTTATATGAGCCAAATGGTGAAATAGGTTGAAAATCACTGGACTGGTTTATCGGAAATACAGGGAACAGGAACATGCCAGATGACACATGGAGATGCGATGACCAAAATCCAGACCAGGAAACATCAGAACACACAGCCCAGTTTCTTCAACAACAAAACATATTTCAAGAAAAGATGGGGAATCTAGTTTTCAAGAAATTTAGACATACATCAACCAAATATAATGCATTGACCTTATTTGATTCAAATCCAAACTAGTTAACTGCAAAAAAAAAAAAAGAAGAAGAAGAAGAAGAAGAAAAACCCAACCAAAAAAAAAAAAAACCATTTATGAGCAATTAGGGGAAATTTGAACTCTGAGATATTTGGTGATATTAAGGAATTAGTTAATTTTTGAAAGTGTGATGATAGTATTGTGGTTTTGCTTTTTAAAAAGTCTTTAAGAAATTCATTCTGGAGTACTTATTGGTGAAATGATATCTCTGCTTTAAAAAATATGCATGTATATATTTTTAATTGATTTCAGAGACTAAGGGAGAGAGAAACATGGATGATAAGAGATAATCATTGATCGGCTGCCTCCTGCACGCCCTCTACTGGGGATCGAGCCTGCAACCCTGGCATGTGCCCTGATCGGAATCAAAACGTGACCTCTTAATAAAAAACACACAAAAACCCCGTGACCTCCTGGTTCAAGGGTTAATGTTCAACCACTGAGCCACACTGGCTGGGCTCAACTTCCTTTTTAAAATAACCCAGAGGTTAGGGGAGAGGGTGTGGGTATAGTCATGGGTTGGTTATAAATTGATATGGGATTAAAGCTGGGTAAAGGGTACACAGGGAGTCATTAAATTCTTCTCTAAGCTTGAAAATGTGATTATTATATACATGTTTAATGGAGAATCTCCGTACAGGAAGGAGTGTCTGGGCTGAGAAGGGTTGGCCACTACCTGCCCTAATGAGGCCGCCAGTCAATCCATGGGCTTTGAACGATGGATTGTGGCGCCCCCAAGGAAGGGACAGATTTTATTTTATTTTATTTATTTTTAAAATATATTTTATTGATTTTTTACAGAGAGGAAGGGAGAGGGATAGAGAGTTAGAAACATCAATGAGATAGAAACATCGATCAGCTGCCTCTTGCACACCCTCTACTGGGGATGTGCCCGCAACCAAGGTTCATGCCCTTGACGGGAATCGAACCTGGGACCCTTCAGTCCTCAGGCCCACGCTCTATCCACTGAGCCAAACCAGTTAGGGCCAGATTTTATTTTTTTATATATTTTTAAATTTTATAAGGAAGAAAGGGAGAGTTAGAAACATCAATGAAGAGAATCATTGATCAGCTGCCTCCTGCACGCCCCCTACTGGGGATTGAGCCCAAACCCCGGCCTGTGCCCTGGACCGGAATCAAACCCCGGACCCTTCTGTCCGCAGGCCCTCGCTTGATCCACTGAGCCAAACCAGCTAGGGCGGGACAGGTTTTTCTTTGCTGGGCACCTGGGCTGTTGAGCTGTAGCTGCATTTTCATGGTATGGGTTTATGTTGGGGTGGTTTTCAGGAGACTGAGGGAGATGGGGAGGCCAATGTCACTCTTTAGGGCCACCACGTGGATCCTGCTAGGGTCTCCGTAATGGAGCTGGGCCCTATGACCTTGGAGTTGGAGGGGAACCTGCGTGCAGGATGGGATGGGCCACCCCCATCCCCACGGAGCCACAGCCAACCGGGCCTGTTCCTCTGCATCCACCTGCCCAACCTGCGCCCTGAGCGGCATTTGGGATGGCAGAAGTGGGCATTCCTACCAGACTACTCCAGTTTTCCAAAGCATTCCACCTGTCTCCTTCCCCCCAGCCTTGGCTCACCTACACCCATCAGTCCCCATGCAGGTTCCCACCTTTCGGTTACCTTCTCCCGAACGGAGCCACCCCGTCCCACACATCTGAGGGGTGAGCTGGAGGGTGGGAGGGCATGACCTGAGTCAGGTGAGCCTGGATGCACCGCGGGACCATCCCGTAGTCGCTCTGGCGCCAAAGCACGTGCGGAGTGTGATCTGCACCCGCAGCTCGCCCTTCCGGCCCCCTCTCCCTCTGGAACCAGCTGTCTGCACGCGGTTGCTGCCACTCGGGGGGCACTGGGCCGCCGGGCAGGATCGGGGCGTGGAGTGCAGGCACCTTCTCAGCAGAGGCACCCCCGTCTCTGCGACTGGAAGGCCCGGCCGCTTCGCCAGGGGGCGCGCTTGGGGGAGGGCGGTGTCTGGCGCTCAGCGCCGTCGGTCCCCGTAGCGCCCCGGCAATGAGTCCATGCGTCGCGGAGCTGGGGGTTCGTTTGTTCATTGCGAGTCTGTGGGCTGAGTGGCAGCTTCCAGAGACCAGGAGGGTGGATGGAGGGCTGAGCGCCGCATCCTCGCTTCGTGGTGCGGCGTCGGTGGAGCGAACGCCAGGCGCGGTGGCTCGGGTCCTACACTCCCAGGGGCCCGCGCCCGGGCCGGCTCAGCCGCGCGGCTGCAGTGACACCCAGCGGCCGTGGTGGGAAGTGCAAGCGCTGTTCGCGCCTCTCCCGGTGTGAGGTCGGTGCCCATCGAGGTTTCCACTCGTGGTTACCAGCGGGCACCCCCGGGGAGCGAAGGCCCCCGCTCTGCAGACTCCCGCGGGGCCCCTCTCCTCCCCTCCCCCCCGCTTCCTCCCTGCAGTCGCCGAGCGCTGGGAGATCCTGCAGGGCTGCAGTGTCCGGAAGGGCGGGGCGGGGCGCAGCGCCGGCGCTGGGCTGTGACCTCGAGCGGTTTCACTTCTGGATCCCGCCGGGTGTGATGGGAGAGGACCTGGGTGGGGGTGGAGGGGGGTACGCGGGCGGGCCGAGGTCCAGTGCTCGGGACCCCGAGTGGGGGGTGGTTTTTACTCCGGGGTGTCCTGCACCCCACGCCCCCGCCCCGTCCATTTTCCATCGCCCGATGGGTTCCACTCCGCTGTCCCCCGAGCTGTCGCTCCTCCCCAGCTGCCACCGCCTCCGCGGGGGCTGCCGACCCCCGGAGAGGCCCCGAGCGGCGTGGGCGGCAGAAGGAGCGAGCTGTGAAGCCGCAGGCAGGGGGGTTAGGCTGCGGGCTGCTGAGATGCCGAGCTGTTTCTCAGAAGTGCAGCTGCCCCTCCCCTCACACCCCCCTCAGCTCCCACCTCGCACCGCACCCCTGCCCCCCTCTGCCCAGCCTGAGCTTTCCTCTCACAGGCACCCCCAACCTGGGAATCTGGTGTCTGGGTTCACGCAGAACTAAGAGGAGGTCCTGAGAGAGGACGGAGGCCCAGCGTTCACACCCAGCCTCAGTGCCCATCTTCAGAGCTTCCCACTGCCACCTCCCTGTCTGCTGCTCCCCGATGGGCCAGGACTGGAATTTCACAGACCCGCTAAAAAAGCGACCACTTGGGAGCGCACCACCTGGGTGGGTGGGGGAGAAGGAAGAGGGAACAGGCCTTCTCGGCTATTCTTGCTTCTGGAGTTGGAGGAAAGGCCTGGCTGGAGCCATGGGGTTGAGACCAGGCTGAGTCCCAGGTGGAAGCAACTTCAGAGATCCGACAAGAGGGTGGGGGTGGGGGGCGAAATCAGGGCCCAACGAGGGAAAGCCAAGAGCCCAGGGTACCCTGAGAGTGGCAGAGCTGGGATAGGAACCCAGGGGTCCAAACGGCCCAGCTGGAGGCTGCACCGGGCAGTCATTTGCTTTATGGAGACGTCAGAGCGTTTCTGGAGTCAGGGACTCTGGCTGCTTCTCCCCCCTCCCCCCATCCCCCCTGCAACACAC